TAATATTTTGATCATATTCCATTTCTTTTTGAATTCTAATTCCATCCAATTGTCTCCTAACAATTTTCAAAGTATCTTCTTGAGATCCGAATCAACCGTTGAGTATTTGCAATTTAATCCTCAAACTTTGAATTTTGCCATTTTTTGCTACTTTTTGCTTCTTTTCTCCAATTATTCGTCAAATATCGAGTTTTACCTACAAGATGCCATGTGACAGAATTTAGGTCATATTTTGCTAAAAGAACAACAAAATTTTATAGTTTCAAGCCTCGAATAAGTGTAGAAAATACACTTATCACCAAGGTCAAATGAACAGAAGAAACATTTACATGGGATGTTTGTGAAAAATGGTAAATCGTGTCGTTTTTATTTTCTCTCTCAATACCTAGGCGAAGTGTTTTAATTTTGTTGTTTCCCTTTCAAACGGTCTCAGATTGAAAACGGACAATTTTAGTTTTCAAATAACATGAACACTAAAAAGCTGCAATAAAAACAAACAAAGATATATACAAACAAATGTTTGTATATGCAGGCATAGACCATAACAAACCCATTTTGTTTAATAAAATCACATCATCTAGGTTTCAAATGAAAAAAACCCTAACCGAACACCAGACAAGAAAATGTTAAGAGCAGTACCGGCAAGAGAGAGAGGGCCAGACAAGGTTGTGATGAGCAAACCAGTCTTACAACACTGGCAGCAGCTGCTTCCAATTAATACACCTTTCCTCCAAGGAGGCGTTTATCTTCTCGCCGCTGGTGCCTCTCCTCTTAGCACTAGCCATTTTCTCCTTGTCTCCTTTCGATTTCGTCGAGCCCTTTGGTCTTCCCCGCTTCTTCGGCTCTGGCGGTGGCGATGCTTCCATTGTCAACTTTTTCTGCTTTTAGGGCTGCTACGATTTTAAGGCGAATACTGAGTACAGTCAATCAGAAGCAGAGCTTGATGAGTAACTAAGCTCCAAAATTTGAATTATTAAGAAGATCCAAAACAGAGAGGGAAATTGACGAACGACCTTATTTTGTGATTTTATTGGAAATAGCCTCATTTGTCTCTAACGTCTTCAACAATACCATTGTATGTTGCTTGAAGAATTAAGCTCCTTGTATAGATGAAATGTACAGAAAATTTCATCGATGATGAGATGACAACTAATTTAACTTTGGTTTTTTGTCGAACGCTCAATGAAATCTTTTCCACTGACAATCTGTCAACCACTTCCGTACATGTAGCATTTCTTTTGTTTGAAGCTCAAGTTCAAGTTCAAAACAAGGTTAATCACTTGATTTTAGGTGTGGACCTTGGATGATTTGGCTAGGGTATATAGAGAATATGACTGAATCAAATCATTTTAAAAATTCTCCTAATGAAATCATTAATTCTCTTATACTTTAAAAGTAACTTGTAAACAAACAATTGTGTCAGTTTTCTTATTTCAATTGTTTTAAACTCAACATATCATAATTCAACAAGCTAAATATAAGTTGAAACAAAATGCAAGTATAGTGACTAATTTGGAAGAATAAAAACAATTGCTCACCAAAATGAGAACAATCATGCTATGATGTCAAGAAGGGTTTGACACCTTCATTTCTGATAGCACACTCACAAAGGGGGAGCATTTTGAATTAAGTTGGTTTGCTAGAATTTTTTTGCCACATTACTTGACATACACTGACATGGCGTGGGACCCTCGCAGGACCTATGTGAATAAAAAAATTCCCCATACTGTGAGTGTGGGGTTAGGGAGGGTTTGACATCTCCTTGGCCGCATAGAAAGATGAAAAATTTTATGTGTACATAATAATGTCCATAATGTGATGTGGACAAAATCTCGTTGTTGATGTGAAAGTATGAAAGTTGAATTAAAGGTCCGATCCAGCGCCACGTGTAATTATAGACACCATTATGTGTAACATTATGTACTTGTAGCACTTCTCTAGAAAGATTGGAGCGTTTTTGGCATTTTTTATTCACGCGAAGTCCCACGCGCATATAAGTGTATGTCAATCAAGGTGTCAAAACATTTTCTGGTAAAAGAGATTTATTCAAACTGGAATACTATTTTTGTGAGTTGAACCCAACGAATCAGATTGCCATACAAAATCCATGTTGAGTTTTTTCATCTACGCACGAACGTGCAGATAGAAGGAGACGGTTTGGAAAATGGAGGGTTAGCCACCAATACGTGAGATTCCTAATGAGCCAGATGTTAAGCGTTAAAAGTTCGCAGGGGGGGCTATTCTCATTTTTAACTTTGCTCTCGGAGGTCAGTTCCCTTGAACAATTATCTCCACCTCCCAAAATTTGAAATTGCTTACAAGTTTGTTTTATAGTAAATTCTTGAGATCCGTTTTACGAATTTGAATGTTATCCTGCTTTTGTTTATCATTTTAGATTGTATTTTTGGGGTCTGGGTATGGGATTTGTGCGCTTGTTTTAGAGTTTGAAACTGTTGCATTATGATTGTTTATGTGTTCGATGTTACAGTTAATCCGTCTGCTAGTTGAACTCTGGGGTCTGATTAAAATGGTTTTTTTTTCTTGTCCATTTATACTTTGCTTATGTGCTATTTGTTAAAGTGAAAAAAAAAAAGAAGCAACAAGTGGTTATGATTTTTGAATAATCGCGAATGAGAAGTTGATTCTTGGTATTTGAGGATGAAGTACTTTATGAGATGTGCTTCATTTTTAGTGGCTAAATTTTCTATAGTTTTGCTATTATGTTAATGAGATGTATAATTATCTTTTCTGGCAATTCACC